AGACAGGGGGTTTTCCCCAGGGGGGGGGCCCCCCCCCCCCCCCCCCCACCCCCCCTTATTCAATTAAAACCATACATACACTCTCTCACACACCCTCACACACACACTCTCTCTCTCTCTCTCTCTCTCTCTCTCTCTCTCTCTCTCTCCCCCCCCCTACCCTCTATCCACATCCCTTGTCGCCCCCGCTCTCGCGCACGCACATGCCACCGTCGCTTGTACCCTCTCTCGCTCCGACGTTGGTCCTGGTCCTGGTTCTGGCGCTCTCCCTGTTGGTACTGGCTGATCCGCTAGCTGTAGAGCCAGAAGGAGTGCCTCAGTCCGATTCGCTCTCGCTACCGGTCCTCTATCTGGATACTAATGGCTCGATCGTGCCCAAAGAGCCGCGTATTCCGGCTACACTGATGCTGCTCGACCCGCTGCCACTGCCGGGCGGTGCCGCGACTGCCAACGTGTCGAACCTCGTGCCGAGCGCTGTGTACGAAGCGTCGATCGAACGGCGTGGGCAGACGTCGATTCACTTTCCCAAGCGCCAGCTGCTAATGCACACTGAGCTCCATGGCGTAGTCCTGCTCGGCCTGCCGGCCACCCACAAGTGGGTCTTGCACGGGCCGTGGGTCGATCGCACCCATGTCCGCAACGCCTTCACCTACGCTCTTGTCCGGACCGCCTTTGGCCGCTACGCGCCGCTCACCACCTTTGCCGAGCTCTTTCTCGACCAGGCCGCCGAGCCGGTCCTCAACATGGAGACCAACTACATGGGAGTTTACACGATTGTCCAGAAGATCTCCACCGCCTCGGCCTCGCTCGACATCTCCAAGTCGCACGGGATGGTGCTCAAGTTTGGCGTCGCTGGCGACGACGACGTTGCGGTTGACGTCATCAATGACGCCGGCGTCAACGTCTCGTGCGTCATCGAGCACCCCGACGTCGAAGACCTCACCGCTGCCCGCTTTGACGACATCGCAGAGACTGTTCGCGCTGTCTCCCGCGAGCTGGCAGCGTGCAACACCTCGCTCCCCTGCAACTACGCTCCGCTCATCGACGTCGCCTCGTTTGTCGACTTTGTCATTGTCCAGGAGCTCTCCAAGAACATCGACGCCTACCGCAAGTCGTTCTTCCTCCACAAGGACACCCACGACAAGTTGACCGCAGGCCCTGTCTGGGACTTTAACATTGCTTGGGGCAAGTCCAACTTTCTGGACGGCGACACCGTCGACGGCTTTGTCTTTGCCAACCCGGACATGCTTGCCGAGGACCCGTCGCCGCCGTTTTGGATCTCGGCCCTGCTGGCTGACCCGGCCTTTGCCTGCGCGTTGCGCTTCCGCTATGTGCTGCTGCGCCAAGGCCCGCTCGGAGATGCCCCGCTCGTTGCCCTGTTCAACGCAACGCTCGCCGCCATCCCCCCTTCCGCCTTTGCCCGCAACTTTGAGCGCTGGCCGCTCCTCGGCCACTGGATCTGGCCCGACCCCTACGGCCGCTCACCCGAGTCGGTCGCCCAGGCCGCCGACTGGACCATCGACTTTATCCTCGCTCGCGCTGCCTGGCTCGATGCTGCGCTCCCTGCGCTTGGCCCGGCCGTCTGCCCGCCCCGCCCACCGCCTACCGCCACGTTGGCCAGCGACGCACCTGCTGCTCTGGTCACAGGCGGCCACGTCCAAGTTCAATTCTCCACCGGCATGGACACGGCCGCAGTCGAGGCCTCTCTTCGCATTATGCGCGACGGCGATACAGAATCCGGCTCTGGCCTGGCCTGGCGCGCCTCGTGGCGCGACTCAGGTGAGTTGCTGCGGCTAACAGTTGAGCCCGACCAAGCCGGCCTCGTGTGGGGCGCCCATTACGTTATTGAGATTCAGCAGCCAGTGTCCGCCCTCGGCGTGGTGGCGCCCAACCCAATAGCGCTCCAACTCACCGCTGCCGCCGCGCCGCCGCCACCGCCATCGCCACCGCCGCCGCCACCGCCACCGCCGCCACCGTCGCCACCGCCGTCGCCGTCGCCACCGCCCCCTGCAGTGACCGCCACGTCTGGCACACTCCACATCGGCGGCCTCGACGAACACTCCGAGGCATCGACGTGGGCAACCGTCAAGGCGCTCGTGCTGGTGAGCGTTCTCGTGGTCTGCGGGCTCCTCGCCTGGCGCCGGTGGTACGCGGCTCCGTTTGCGCTCATCACAGACATCTCGGTCGATCTGGAGCGCCGCGGCATGCTCGATGCAAGCGGAACGGGTGTTATTGTGGGAGAGAGAGGGTTCGACGAGGGACGAGGGAGCTCGGACGACGGCGACGACGGCATCCGCCTTCTTCCGCTCTGAGAAGGCGTCAGAGTGTAGCGATTGTCGCTGCGCCGGGGTAGTCGGGCAGCGCAAGCTTGTGCTTGGCGGCCACGTCCGGCGGGACAAAGCGGCCGCCGATGATGTGCGTCCCGTCAAAGTGCAGTGCACAGAGCTTGGGCAGCGTGAGCGAGACGAGGACCGCCGGCGAAAGGCCGACGCCGTTGACGTCGCCGGCATCAACGTCCCAACCCGACGGCACGTCGACTGAGACCACCGGCTTGTCACACCTGGCCATCGCCGCCACCACTGCGTCGAGCGGCGCCCGCAGCTTGCCCTTGAACGAAAGCCAAAGACAGCGTCGAGAACGAGATCAAAGTCGTCGAGGGCAGGCCCGTCGTCGGCCGAGCGCGAGATGGGAATCCCGAGTGCCGCGCACTGATGCAGGAGCCGCTCAAAGAGCTCCTCAGACCGGCTTGACGTGTACGGGTTCCACACGCTCACCTCGTAGCCCATATGGACGAGATGGCGAGCGGCGATGAAGCCATCGCCACCGTTGTTTCCGCCGCCCGAGACCACCACCACACGCTTGGCCTGAGCCGCTGGATACGTCGCCGCCACCGCATGCGCCACCGCCAGACCCGCCAACTCCATAAGCTGCAGCGTATGGAAGCCTCCCAACTCACCCAGCAAATCCATGTCCACAGCCAGCGCATCAGCTGCCGTCAGATACTATGCATCACCCACCATTGCCCGCCCATTGCCCGCCACCTGCCCATGTCAGTCGACCCTTTGCCCTCACACCTCGCCCTTGCACCTCGCCCTTGCACCGCCCTCGCACCTGCGTACTGTGATGCCGTCCACAGTACGGCTTGCCAGGGGTAGAACCGGTTCCTCGTGCGATGCCATACTTGAAGTGAGCGTGACGAGTGTAACCACCTTCCCCACCCCCACCTCTGTGGTTGCCCACCACATCTGCTGGAGCACGTGGTGAGCCAATCGAAGCATGCTTCTTTCCCCAATACCAACCACCAGCCGTCAGTCCCGTGCCTCGACCCACAGCTTTGTTGTTGATTCGCAAGTTGGCTGCCATGTCGCTCGCACGACCACCCGCAGCACAGCAAGCCGTCACAGCATCCTTGGCAAAAACCTGACCAAAGCGCCTGCCATGGCAACCACTCCCTCTTCCCCCTCCCCTCCCCCCAACAACAGACACAGACCCAGACAGACTCTCTTACACACCACACCACTCCACGCCCCTCGCCATGGCCTCGGGGAAGCAGGCGCTCCTCAATTGGGCGCGTCGTGTGTGTGGGCAGATGGGAGTGCCCATCAAGGGCTTTTCCAAGTATGTTGGTGTGTGTGTGGTGGGGGGTGGGGGGGTGGGGGGTGGGGGTGGGGTTGGTGTGAGGTGGAGTAGGTAGGGGGAA